ACTATATAGAGATTTTACACTCCCTTAATACAGTATACTTCTTGCACTCTGTGTAACAGCAGTTATCTCAAGAATCCTTGCAGACCCAAGGATTACATATTTGGAGTAGAAGGAACAACAAATTCATGCATGCTGTATCATAATCCATGTACATGAATGAATTCTTACTCATTAAGAATCTACAAGGCAAAATAACCAGTCCTTTATCTATCAAGTTTCAGTATTTTGCATTCTGTTACAGTGTTATTTATTCTACTCATATTATTTCATTATTCAACTCATTTCTAAGACAAACAGTAGCAGTCTTCTCAGGCTTTTCATACTTGCAGCATCTCTTTGAAGAGAAGAACAGGGCAAGCTTTCTCCTTCAAAGTGTCATTGAAAAGAAGCAGGATTCTCCCTGTCTACCAAGTGAGAATCTTTTATCCATTCCATTTCCAGTACAGATAAAGCTTGAGCATTAGATGCCACAGCACAAAGACTAATGTTATCATCTCACTATGACACATTCTTGGTCATACATGAGCAGTTATAACTGCAATGCCAATAACCTCTGCATTCACCACTCCAAAAGACTCAAAGGCAATACAGCGGTTTTGAGTACAAACAAGTGATTGCTACAAACTCTTAAAGACCAGCAGCTTAAAAAACAAACCAGAAAGCCTGTTACTAGGTTAATCCATATCAAAATGTATCACAGATTGTTTCCTGATTTATTTTTTTTTTTCATGAAGTAAAGCTGCTTGGCTTCATTTGCTGACACACTGAAAATTTAGAGGACTTTTACAAGGAATTGGATAGTTTATATCAAGGTCATGTGACTGCCTCCCTGCTAAAGCCCATATATCAAAGCATGCAGCTGCTAGCCTGAGAGCAGAGCACAGCATCTATTTTCACACAGGAATTCATGTGTTGCTTGGCAGAATTCTGTTCTATATTCAGTGGGTGACATAAACCACAGCAATGAATCCTGGAAGCTAAATCTCTCTCTCTCTTCTGCACTGCACTCAGAGGTGAATGCCAGCAAAACGAAACCTGTCTCGTGCCAGGGAAGCGTATGCTGAACAAGCATTCTCTCTTTCTTGGTCCTTTACTCCAATAAGGATAGGCTGTACTCAGCTTCTTTAATAATTATAATTAGATACACATAGATTATGCTCATGCAAACTCATGGAGAGGTTAAGCCAATCAAAGTGAAGAAATAATCCTCTAGCAATACATGTTTCAAAATGCTATACTAAAAAAACACTGCTCTGTGCTGACATACTGTGTGCTACTGATTAAGAACTCTGTCTGAAATACAACATTTTTAAAAGATTAAAAGCAGTTTCTTTCTCACTTCTAAACTGGCACGAGACAAAGAGGGTCAAAAAAAACAAAACAAAACAAACAAAGAAAAATCATGCTGCAGGAAGAGTAAGAGAGAGCCCTCTGGCAGGAGCAGTGTACAACTCAATCTCAGAGCAGATTCCAACCCCCAAGAAAAGAGAGGTGGGTTTTTTTTCCTCATTATTTACTATAAAAATTACACCCATCTCATAAAAATGTAGCCTTAGAATTGGGATACTGCCAGGGATCTTAGGCTTAACATTCAATCTAGCAATCAAATTGACAGATTAAAGGAGAAGAGAGAAATTAATTAAAGTGAACTACAGTAAAGACAAATGGGAAACTAGTCACAGGGATTATTCCTTTCTAATGCAGAAAACCAGAAAGGGTTAATTAGCTTGGCAGATGTTCTTACATGGACAGATCTCATTGGTCAGACTGTAAATTGATACCTGCATTAAGAAGTTACTTTTTTAATTTCTTTTTCATTAAGCAAGTCTATCTTTGTTTAAATTAAGCTAACCCTATGCTTATGATGAGTAATGCCAGTGAATATGAAGTTACAATAACACAACAAATTTGGAGAGATGAAATACGCACAGCTGAGAGGCCTACCCAGAAAGTGGAAGGCTTACTGAAAAAAAAGGAACACCTCATTTACCCATTAGTCAATAGAAACAGAATTAGGAATCCAGTTTGACCAGGCTGCTGCAGAGGGTTTACAGTTCAGATGTATTTTGTCCTATGGAGGTGAAAAAAAAAAAATTATGGAAATAACAGCAATTTCTATCAAAGAAGTAGCAGACAATGAGTGATGGAAAACTGCCGAGCTATGATGACCTCAGTGACCTGAGGGTGAAGCAATTCTGTCATTCTGCAAAACGGGATGAGGAACCAAGGATCATGAGTTAATAACTGAGCTTGAGTCCTGGACACATTTTGAGACATTCCCGTTTTTTTTCTTAGAATGATAGTGGTATTTTTTCATAGATGACAGACAAAGAAAGCCAACAATGAAACAAACCCTAAGCTAAGAACCCAGGATGTACAAAACCCTGAAGTACTAGAAGGATTGGGAGTGTGTGGTCTTTTGGTCATACTGTATCTTCCTTGTATAATCCATGCTTCACAGCACACAGTTATCTTTTAGCCAGAGTTCAAGTGCTCACCCAACATGTTCCCTGCCAAGCAGCCAACCTCTTTGCTAATCCCACAGTTTGCTCTCATCACCAGGGAGGTGAAAGAGGGAGAAAGACACAATGGCAGAGGACTCTGTACCAGACTGTCTCCTATATCCTTAGCCCCCAGAGGTCTCACCCTTATCTCAGCATGGTAGGCACTGTTAATTCAAAAAAGGGAGGGGGACAAGAGAAAAAAGCAGCTTTCAATCAGAAACAGCCCGCACAAGCCATTCCTTTCAACTCTGTCACAGGATTGTCTTTCACTTCCCAAAGCCCAGTTCTGACGGTCTTGAAGTTAGTGCTGATGTTTTAATGGATTTGTGGCTGCACTGTCACATATGAAAACTCACCAGCTGACTCTGACATTTCAGCTTCTCATCTGTCTCTGCTGTTGGAAAGAGGCCACCCGGCTGCCCATTTAACACTCTCAGTGGAAAATACTCAGCTGAAGCACTCCTTCACCTGAAGTTTCCTGTCTTTCCAGGGTTATAATGCTGCCCAACAACCACAAACCCCACTCCGTATTTTGCCAGGGCTCTCATTGTTCACTCCCGAGCAGTGTAAGTGTATATACCAGTGACTGCAGTTACACATTTTTAACAGTTGTATAGGCCACTTTGTAAAAATTCAGTCCGATTTATTTCTTCTTGGACTACCAAACAGCTGCCTTTCAGCACAGATGCTTTAGAAGTGCTTAAGTATAGGGTTTAAATTACACAGAGTTTATTCACAATGAGCAGCAATGACACTAAGAAAGCACACGAATCCTTTTTTTCTTCCATAAAGTAAGTAAAAAGGACATGCTTCAATAAAGAGAGCTTTCCCAGTTAAATTACTATGCATTATTAATGCTCGTCTCTGCTTTTTATGTACACATCCAACCATTAGATTACACACATGGGTTATCAGCAAGAAATGGAGAATCATTCCTACAGGTAATTGGAATTACAGGAGACCCTAGCCAAGAAGGTACATAAAGCCAGACAACTACAGCTCGCCCCTCCTTCAATGTTCTCATGTTCATGTTTGGAGTCAGGCTGCAATACAGAATACAGTTTGTGCATAAGCCAGGATTTATATAATTCTGCACTTAGAATCACACTAGGCATATGAACACATACCGTCAGTACACAATGCCCTTTTTCTCATGCAAACAACTTTCCTTTCTTAAAAAAAAAAGTGAGTTTTACATTTGATTTTCTACCTAGTCTTTTTTTTCCATTTCTTTTGAATAAGAGAGTGGTATCAACAATTTGATAAACAATACATTTATGTGCCACTTTGAAAGAGAAGTAAATTTAAGGTGTACTGTCCACCTGTGCATCTGACTTGGACTAAGGCAGAAATGCTGTTTTCTTATATATATACATCAACAGCATTGGCACAGCAAGTACAAATAAGTGTTCAGCAATTATACCAAAATACCATATAATTTGTACCAAACCCTGCCAGCAAACTCTGGCTGATAGGACTGTAAAAGGAAACAGCGTCGTGCAGAGAGTTAAAAATTGGAGAAGAAAGGAGAGAAAGAGAAGCTAAAGGAAAGACTGAGAATAGACAAAGCTCTTCTCTCAGGCTGCAAGGGCTTAACGTAAGAAAAGAACAACTAAGTCTGGCTGCTTCATGGCAGTAAGCATACCAAGTTGTGAACAAAATGGTTAACTACAGATGACAGCAGAAGGATGCAGGTACAGGGAAACAGATCATTCTAAAACTTACATCTTTTAGACATTCCAGAGCTCAGTGCCTGAAAGGGGAGAACCAGCTGAGAAAATGGTGAAGGAGTCTTGGGCTTGGGGGAAAGCTGAGACATGCAAGAGTTGTGAAGCTAACCTCGGTCACAACCCGGCAATCACACCTCCTTTCCCAGCTTTTCAAAAGAGAAATGAAAGACAACTGGAGGATGAAATGAAAATAGTGTGTTTAAACCATTAAGCCAATGAATCCAACAGTGAGGATGCTGGATGCAGCTATAGCGCATAGTTTTCTTGTTAAACTTTATGAGGGGAAAAAAGAATGATGTGTGTTTGATGTTTCCAGTTAGAAGATGTAACCTCAAGGCATGCCAGCCTATCTGAATTATCTCCTGGAGAAGCAACCTCCAGGAAATAATGGGAAAAGAAAGATGTTGACCCCTACTTTTCTCCTTCCATGTTCTCAGACTCTTCCCAACCCCCTTCTCTTCTTACTCATATTTTCCCTCCTCTTTTCTTTTAAACCATCCATCCCCTGCAGTCCCCCTACTATCCCATTATTCGTTTTTTCTTACTGCTCTGCGGCAGTCAACTTCTTCCATTTCCCTTCTTCAATACTATACTACAAGCATGTTGCCTTACTCCTCTGTCGCCTCAACACACATTATGTGACTGGTTTGCACAAAGGAGAATGAAACTGCCTTTCACTAGTAACTAGCTAATACATGGAAACATGAGTGGTCAACAGTTCTCAGAAAGGGCGGACCACATGCCAGGTCAAGGAGAGGGTAAGGAATTGCCATTAGGGAGCTAACAGCTCTGCACTGGACAGAAAGGGAGGCTGTGGCAACATCATCCCTCCGGTGTCCCTCATCATAGACCTGGATTACCTTACTGAATACATCCGTGCTCTTGCCATAGTTACGGTGACTGCTCTTTAGCTGCATGTAGGCAAACATGTCACAACAGCTGCACCGATAGAATAACCAGAACATATTGACAGTGTTTAGCAAGGCTGAAATTAAACTAACTTGGACTACCAGACCTGAAGCAAGTTCTGCACGCATACTAAACCATGAAAACGATTTAATTCTGAAGTGTGACATACCACAGAGGGGTATTTTCTCTTATGCTTTATGTTCTCTACAGGGCAGAGCAGTAATGGAAGTTTTAAAAAGCAGACTAATCAGACCTGAGCTATACTGTTACCCCTGCCAACCTTTTCATCCTCACCCCTCCATTGTCTTTCCTCTAATCAGAATCCTGTGCTTATTCTGGAAGGAACTAGATAATTTTTCATGTTGTCTTTGATGGAAATGTTTTGAGATACTAAAATTGAAACATCCTGCAATGGCAAAGTCAAGAAATAGCCACTGTAAGGCAGGGAAATGTGATATTTCCTGTAATTACTAGAGGAAGAATTTAAAATGTTTAATTCGACACCACAAATTCATAAATAATACCATTTTAGAAGTATCTTAAAGTGGGTGACTAAAATATAAGCCTTTTTTTAGACATACAAGATGGATTTGTTTCTACCCCATCACTTTCATTTAGCCATAAAAAGCTAACTATTAATACAGAAAGCAAGCTTCACTTATATAATACTAATTGTTTTTACGGTACCCACTTTTGCAATAAGCATCTGACAAGGCTACTGAAAAGGAGTAACATTCCCAATGCAGCTGCACCTATTCAGAGTACCTTTTTTAATTACTTCAGGTTTGCTGGAAATCAACTAGAGCTGAATGCAGAATTCCTACATAAATTCTTTGTGCTATGAGAAGCTTATTGTGTAACTATAATGACACAAATTTGTGGAATGGAAAGTCTTATCTAATTTCCTTGGCTATATTTAATGTTAGGTTCTCTTGCCAAACATCTACTGACAACCTCTATATTTTCAATATGCAAATACACAGTAGAAGCCACTTCTGTAGAGGCAGTTTTTAGGTTGCTTTGTTATATTGAGCTTTCATTGGAAATGATACATTAACTAGCAAAAACCCACCATGCCCACAAAGACATAGCCTGAAACCTTACCTCTCTGAATAATCTTTTATACACAGATGACGTAAAATGAGAACTTCCCATAGCAGTAGGACAAAAGGGAGCAAAACACCTAGAAAGCTGCTGTATACTATAATGACTCACTTAAAAAGTATATGCCACAAATACTAAAAACACAGGTTTTTTTGTTTTGTTTTGGGTTTTTTTATGATGCTATATAAATACACTTGATATGCTTCTCTCTCCTCGGTCTTTTCTATCACCATTCTATGGCACCAAAAGCTGGACAAAATGAAGTTGAAAAAAGCCCAAGATGACATTCTAGTGAGAGCTATTAAAAAGGAGTAAGAAGTTCATATGGAACCTATTATAGCTAATTATTTCCTCAGGTTTGTAATTCTAACCTGCAAAGAACACATTTACAGTTCATAAACACGATTAAAAATCACAGAATCCTTATGGTTGGAAGGGACCTCTGGAGATAATCCAGTCCAGCCCCCCTGCCAAGGCAGGGCCACCTAGAGCAGGTTAAACAGGAAGGTCTCCAGATGGGTTCTGAATGTCTCCAGAGAGGGAGACTCCCCAACACCCCTGGGCAGCCTGTTTCAGTGTTCCACCACCCTCAACGTAAAGGAGTTCTTCCTTGTGTTGAGGTGAAACTTCTTGTGCTTGACACCATCCTCCTGGCGCTCACCTTTGAGATACTTGATATGCATGGAGACCCCCCTCTCAGTCTTCACTTCTCTAGACTAAACAGGCCCACCTCCCACTATCTGTCCTCATAAGAGAGGTGCTCCAGACCTTTGATCATCCTTGTAGCCCTCCACTGGAGCTCCTTCTCCAGTAGAATCTTGTTTTTCAGGTACTGAGGAGCCCAGCACTGGACACAATATACCAGATGTGGCCTCACCAGGGCTGAGTAGAGGGGGTGGATCACCTCCCTTGACCTGCTGGCTACACTCTTCCCAATGCACCCCATGATACTATTGGACTTCCTCGCTGCAAGGGCACACTGCCAGCTCATAATCAACGTGACATCCACCAATACTTCCAAGTTTTTCTCAGATGAACTACTCTCTAGTATGTCTGCCCCCAACCTGTACTGGTACTTGGGGTTCTTCCTTAACCATGTGCAGTACCCTACACTTGCCCTTGTTAAGCCCCATTAGGTTTCTTTCCACCCAATTCTCCAGCTTATCAAGGTCCAACTGAATGGCAGCACAGCCTTCAGGTGTATCAGCCACTCCCCCCAGCTTCATATGATCTGCTAACTTGCTGAGGGTACATTCCATCCCTTTGTTCAGGTCTTTGATAAGTAAGCTGAGTAAGACCAATCCCAGTACTGACCCCTGGGGAACACCACTGACTACAGACCTCCAATTGGATTCTACTCCTCTGATCACAACCCTCTGAACTCTGCCATTCAGCCAGTTCTCAATCCACATTACTGTCCATTTATCTGACCCACATTTCCTAAGCTTACCTATGAGGATGTTATGGGAGACAGTGTCAAAAGACTTGCTGAAGTCAAGGTAGATAATGTACACTCCTCCCCCTTGTCAGCGCATCTTGACATGTCACCATAAAAGGCTATTAGATTGGTAAAGCAAGATCTACCCTTGGTGAATTCATGCTGACTACTCCCAGTGACCTTCTTTTCTTCTACGTGCTTGGGGATGACCTCCAGAATGACCAGTTCCACCATCTTTCCAGGGATGGAGGTGAGGCTGACTGGCCAGTAGTTTCCCAGATCCTCTTTCTTACCCTTTTTGCAGATTGGAGTGACATTGGCCTTCCTCCAATCACTGGGCACATCACCTGTTCTCCACGCTTTTTTAGAGATGATGGAGAGCGGCAGGACAACATCTGCCAGCTTCCTCAGTACCCTTGGGTGCATCCCATTTGGGCCCATAGATTTATGGGTGTTAAGTCTATCCCTAACTGAAGTCTCTACAACCAGGGGGAAGTCCTCCTTTCTCCAGCCTTCATCTCTAACCTCTGAGGCCAGGGACTCCTGAGGGCCTGTCCTAGCTGTAAAGACTGATGTAAAGGAGGCATTCATTAATTCCGCCTTGCATCCAATGCATAAACTACAACCAGCTGGATGGAATCCACTTGCAAGGCAAGCAGTAGAAACTACAGACAACCATACTGTATCTACTGCTTTCATATTTGAGAATCAGAAAGAATGGAGGAAAATCAGAACAAAACAACAATTAACTATTTCAATGCCTACTTTCTGAAAAGCTTCAGCCTATTGTCTCAAAAATACACCAAAAAAATAGTATTTATAGTGAAGACAACCATATTTGTGCTGAATATAAAGCACTAGTGTATTCAGTTACATATCTGGGAGGAAGATCAGTCAGAATAAACTGTATCTTGGTCCATTACACTCAGTGAGTTATAGACCTCTACAAGATTTCTTTTTATTCTAAGAAAGTATGTTTGCTATAATTAATTATATTTTTAAATGCATTTGGCTCCTGTTCTAAGATCTAACAAATTAGATTTCAAAATAAAATCAGTCGCAAAACCCCCTCACTACATCTATCTATAGGTGGATTTCCAGAATGCTGGGGCCATACCAGCTGTTACCTCTGGATAATGTTACTGCAATGCCAATTGTGAAGTGAATGCCTCCTTCCTGTATCTAAAAAAACAAAACAAAGCCAAATCAAACAAACAAAATATACCCCAGTAGTTTATTTTAGTTTGTCTTATTTGCCTTGCTTGCAACGTAGACTGCTTTCACAATTGTTAGACCTCAGAATCCTCTGTGCAAAAATGATTTCTAGGGTACCAGTCTATCTCCACATGTTGAACCACAGCTGGACAGACTGCACTGTACCTAAAAAATACTTGATGTTTCCTACATGACAGTGACAATGGATATTTACATGAAGAAGTAAAGACACTCGTAGAACAAGTAGCTGAGCCCCTTCCATTCTGGTGGTAGAATAAATGATGACGACAACATTAAACAAATACCACTAATTTGAAATCTTCCATAAACCATTAAGATTTTATTTACCTTCAATTAAAAAAAAAAAGAAAAAAAAAGTCTGTTGGAGTCGCTGTGGGTTTTCTCTAACCTGCAGCTGAAACAAATGGTAAGACTTACAAAAGACAGATTTCACACTCTGTCAGCTCATCAGCCAACCAATTCTATTGGGAAGAAACAAAAGCTTTAGTTGTTTTAATTTTTTTTGAGTACATTAATAGCAAGAGGAGGCGTAAGGAAAGCACTGAAGCAACAGTCTTTGAAGATACTCACCTGACAAATAGGGATGAAGAAAAAGCAAAGGCATTCAATGTTGGGGGTTTTTGCTTCAGTCGTAAATACTACTGATAGACCTTGGGCTGAGGTGAAGAACCACGACTGTGGGAACAGTGACTTTTAATTAGTGGACACTGAAATTGTAAGGGACCAGCCATTTTAGCTGAATGTACATAAATCTATGGGGCCTGATGGGATTCGGCCCAGAATACTGAAGGAGCTAGTAGATATTACAGCAGAACCTGTGTTGATCATCTACCAAACGTCTGGGGAGGTCCGTGCTGACTGGAAGGTAGCCAACATTATTCCAATCTACAAGAAGGGCATGAGGAAACTACAGACCTGCTAGTCTAATCTCTTAACCTGGGGTAATTATGCAGATCATACCGGGTGCTACTGAAAGGCATTTAAAGGGCAATGCAATCAGCAGGCACAGTCAACATGGGTTCACAGAGGGCAAGTTCTAACTAATTTGATATCCGGCTATGATGAAGTCACACAGCTAGTGGGTGAAAGGAAAGCAGTAGATGTAGTCTTTATGTATTTTACTAAGGCTTTTGATACTGCCCCTTACAGCATTCTTCAAGACAAGCTGTCCAGCTGAAGGGCATAGCTCAGAGGGCTGCAGAAAATGGG